TTAAGTGCTCTTTGTTGTTATTGTTCCTCTACGTTTTCTATCAGATGTTTCCCCTTTCCAATTTTTCAAGCCATTCCATTTCTACAAAAATGTTGCAACAAAAGTGCTGACATTTCCAATTCAAAGATTCTCCCAAGTTTTTCAGAAGATCAAGTTCTTTATGATTTTCTGTTCTTGATCAGAAGAAAAATCTAATTCTGGAATGTCAAGATCTTTCATGGGATGAACTTCCCCAGTTCTCAGCTGGAAATCCCCATGGGCTGTCCCTGCCCACCCATGTTATGTACAGGCGTGCATACTGGCCATGGGAGAACCCAAAACAGTCTCCACTGCATCCTTCCAGCAGCCAAGACACACCTGTATCTGGTGAAAGGCTCCAAACCATAAGACTCTCTTAAGTTAAAAATAAAATCACACCATTGAAGGAACTTCTCAGGGTATCGCATTATAAGCTACCGCAGCCTCTGCGGACCCCGGCGATGCTGTGGCTGCTCCTCCAGCCCAAAGGGTAAACAATTGTTTTCCTTTTAAGCATAAATGTAGAGTTTAACTGAATCTAGGAACCGAGACATAGCACAGCAATAAATAAAGAGCAATAAATTAACATCATTAACAATACAGTGGGATAGAGTATTTTGTGTAGCAGGAAGGAAAACACCTGGTGGCAAAAGTGAGCTCCAGCACACCAGAGTGAACATAAGACTGAATACTTGAAACTACGTTAAGCCCTTTTATTTTTTGAAAGGTGTGCTACTATTTCTTTTTCCTGTTACTTTCACAAGAAACTAAAAGTCTGAATACATAAAACCATGTTTGTTGTCATTCTAAATAAACTTAGATAACTTTAAATCTACCACTCCTGGATACCATTTTTCTCAGAGGCCTACCCAGATGAACTGCCATGTTCAGTGGGTCCCTTTCTTCAGCCTTACAACACACCAAAAGGAGGGGATTATCTATCAGACACAGATATCTGTGCACAGCTGGTCACCAGAGGCTCCCTTTGGAGTCCACAGAAAGAAAAAAAGAACTTCCACAGTGCTATTCCCCTCTTCCTAATGTAGACATCAAAAACCATTATATGAACTGTATCTCCATAAGTTCTATTCCATTATTGAATAACTAATGTAACTACCATTTTGCTTAAAATACTACTCCCATTTTACAGTTCTCCTTTTCTACAATTAGCAATCAGTCCCCAAATACAGATCTTTCTACTTTACCTCTGAATTATTTTATTGATTATAGTTTTCTTAAATACTTTAAATGTGCTATTAAAAATTGTAGTAACTGTCTAGCGATTCTAGATAAACAAGTTTAAGGCATTCAAAACCTCTCAGGAAGTAATATTTTACATCTCAAGACCTGTGATTCAATGCTGTTAACAGGAATAGCAAGTAGCAATTCATATAGTTGCATGCTAGCCTAAGGCAATTTTGAAATAAAAGCCTACAAAACCTTCACTTTTCTGAGCTGCTGAAGACACTTTTTTTCTGAGAAAAGATGAAACAGTGGTGGTTAGTCAATTTTTTATTGTTGTTCATTTGGTTTTTTAAAGATCTATGAATTCAGTTTTACTGCATCTCATTTAAAGTAGCTGTGCATATGTTCTAGGGTTTGTTTTAAGCCATTGCTCTTGTAACACACAACTATCTCAGATAAAGAAAAAAATAAGTATTTATAGCCTTTATGATTGTGAAGGAAGAACAGAATGTCTAACAGTAGGGATGATAAAAATAGTAATTCATCCTCACCCCCTCCCCCAAAGTTAAGTATACAGACATACAGCTTTAGTGCATCTTTCCCTGCCTCCAGCAAAGGAGAGGGGCATTAGACTACAACACTGCAAACTGCTCATTCCAGCTTCCTCACTTACTTATGGTAGTTTCTTACAGATGTTTTCTACTAAACATGATAGAAATACCAGAAGATAAAGAACAACTCTGAAGTCTCTGCCCCATCATGCAACTTCTGCCAGCACCAATTCAAGGGTCCATCTGGGAAGCGATGAGCCATTTCCCAAAGGATGCAGTTATAAGTAGTTTCACTCAGTCTGTGGTCCTGCTGCAGTAAAAGCCCTTTGAAACTTAGCTTTAAACCTCTGTTTAAAAACAGTTTTTAAAAGTTAAAGGTTGTAAAAAAGTCTTTGGACCCACCTGGAGCGACATTCCAGCTCCCCTTCCCAAAGGGAGACAGATGAAGCTATAGCATTACCCAGGACCCTGCCTGGGACCCCCAGTGGGGTATTCAGAGAGGAATCCAGATTGATTAAAAATAAGGGTGGACCACAGCTCTCTGATCTTTCTGCTCCCTCCCTTCTTTCTGATATGTGCTTGTTTTCTTTAGTACCTTCCCTCCTACAATGCCTGGGCTCAGGGGAGAACTAGAATAGTCACCCCTTAATCCTCACTTTTTTTTTTATTCTCAAAATTATTTTGCTTTCTGCAGTAACTGTACACGAGAACTATATTTATATGTGTTTAAAGCTAACAACCCCCACTGAGTCTCACAAGCTTTTACAAGATGCTATAAAAGTATCACATGGCAAAGCAATGATGTGAAGTCAAAAGGTGAACACTGTCCTCTGAGACCACAGATATGTATTCTGGGTCACAAGAGTGAAAGAAAATGTAGTTCAAATTTAAGCCATCTCCTTTCACTGCTTTCTGTTACACCCTCACTGAGATCCCAACCAGTGGGGGGTTTGGGGGGCTTTTTTTGGTGTTTTGTTTTTTTTTTTTTAAATTGAGCCTAGATTCCCAACATACCAAAACCAATAGTATTACCACATGTTGCAGCTGGATATCTAACACACAAGTGATTATAATGCATTGCAAGAGCATCAGCTGTATGTTAGTCCTCATACAATTTTCTAAAGGCTTGGCTTCTTTGTTTTTAAAAACAAAAATGTCACATTTACTTAAATTTATGCTTTAGGGGAAATCAATCCAGAAAGAAACTGTACCAAACAAGCAGCCAGGGACTTCATATACAGGTCTGCATGATCTCATAGTGGCTTTGATGAATGGCTGTGACTGGATTAATCTTTAATTAAGATAATGAAATAAGAATGTGATTTGCCAAACATGTCAAAGTGAAGCTTACAGCTCTGAACAGAGTCAGTGTATAAGAAATTGATATTGATTCCCTCTGAACCAGGTTATTTTCTTGTGATCGATTATGTGGGGAGAAAAAGAGACAGTTATTTCTGTATTTTTCAATTTTACAATACTTACAAAACCATTCCCATCTTCATCGAGGAATGGGTATGCCTGCAGTAGAGCATTGACAACAATGTTATATTGCTGGCTGTTTGGATACCTGTGCAAACAAGATGGAGAGGTAAAAGAAATAGTTGGTATTCTAGCCAGTATTAGACACTGTCTGGAGTCAATACTGATATACATTAAACCGTCTGTTTCCAAGACTCTCGATTCCCCTCCAAATAGCAAAGGGAACAGCTTTAAGGTTTGCATTAAATCCTCCTGTTTGACTTCAACAGGTTGCAGCCCCTTAGCCTCCACTACTTAAGCAAGCATATTAAAGAGAATGGCTTTACATCCATTTGAAAATTGACTTCTGCAGCCAATAGGTAATGCTCCCAAATAAATCTAACAATGTTTACTCACAGTGATCCTTCTAGGTATTTTGTCATGTCTGCTTGCAAAAATTCAATAATCCTTATTCTCATACTGTGATCAGGGCACTTTTTTTCTGCTAATATGCACTTGACATCATAAGGGAAGTCTGGCAAAGCATAAGAACTTGTCCACTGCAACGTCTTGTATCTTGCAAAAAATGATTTCAGATTTTTTCTGTAAAAGAAAAGATTACATCATCATGATCACGTCCTTCTATGGGAAGGCAGGCAAGAAGGAAAGAAAAATACAAGCAAAAACTCAACACAAAGCAAAGTTATTGCTATAGAAATTCAAGGCTTGTTCTCTCTAAATAAAGAATACCTACAAAAGCTGCATATGGGATGAAGGCAGTTGTTATCAACACAATGGCTGGAAACAAAGCAGGCACAGCTCCTGTCCCAAGAAGAGCCATCAGCCCTATTTACAAATGTCACACCTCACCTGGGATGAGCCTGAGGCAGGATATCACCACTGGCTACCAAGTGCTTCCTGCCTCCAGAGAGCCCACCAAACCCTAATTCTGAAGGAACACAGGGAAAAGTAGAGATAAATTGAACTGGAAGTCAATCAAGACTCCACTTAAAAGGTGGAGTGGTTCTGGCAGCCCTAGACAGTTTCCCAGTCATAGTGGTCCAGACTTAATAAAATAAAGACATTTCAAATGAGAGGTGCCAAAGACAACTAAAAGTCATGTTCATGTTCTGTGTGTGGCATCACTGCAATTTATGTTTGCTTTAATATAAGTTGCACAGAGCAATTTGGAAACTACTAGCAGACTTTTGAAATAATTTTAAAAATAAAATGCTGTCATTATAGATGACAAATATAGATGCTTAAATGGTATAAATATACAGATATCCATATCTGAATTAATCATCTGCACTACCTTTATATTCACTAGGGAGAGAGAAACACCACTGAAGGATGACAGAACAATGAGAAGACAACTAAATCAGACCAGATGTTCTCTCTCATCTATTTCTTTCCACTAATTATGAAGGAAATTAAGATAGTTACCACAGCTGTTGAAATCTACACTATTTATGTCTCAAGTTAGGAACCTTCCACTTGGTAGGTGAAAGCTCCTGCACAGAGACTTGTGGCTGGACTAGGCATGCTCTGGTGTCCCTTCCAAGCTGCTCTAGATTTTGAGTCTGTGAAAGTTACAGAGGGAAATACTGCCAGACGTCAGTCAACATACATAAGTTTTCACTAGTAAATGTCTCTGTGGTAGCCTATAAACAAAAGCTAGGTATACAAGTAAGAGTTGTGAAGAGTTTTAGCAAGGTTTTCATTGAGAGGTTTTGCTATCCAGCCTCTTTCAGATAGGGATGTAAAAAAAAAAAAAAAAACCAAAACCCAAACCAAAAAACAAAAAACCAAACATGGTAGCCAGTAGCTTTAGACTGGTAAAATCAACTGCAATACTAACGGATGAGCATTTGCAATAGCTTAGTTTATACCACTTTGAAAGATTATTACATATCTGGGAGGCATATTATTTTAGGCCCCTATAGTCATCATTATATCCTCAATACCTTCTTGAGTAGATTAGACTATAACCCTCAACTTTGTTGACCTGGTTATGCTGCCACACCATCTTGGCATCTTTTAATGTAGGTTGGTAGCTTGTAGGCTGGTAAAAGCTCTACAGCCATGATACAACTTTACCAACCCCAGCACTACTGGAAACTGTGATGCAGTGCTGAGAATAAATAGATAAATAAATAGATTTGGGTACTGTCATCTGATCCTCATAGCAGCACTACTGTTTCCCCATGCAAAACAGGTACAAAATGGCCAAGACTGCTGTCTCTCCAAGCTCACCAGATTTTTTAGGACACAGATGCTTAACAGTAGATGCAAACTGTAGTGAACTTCTATTAGTACTTTATAGTCTCAAAAGAAGGAAAAGCTGCGCAAGAAGTGACAAACATATCCACAAAGACAAATTCATGTCCTATTTCGGTGATAAATTAATACACAAATTGGAAAATAAAACTGAACCCAGATTCTGAAATCCCTTGGAAGTCCCTCCTTATGCAAATAAAATGCAGATGTTCAATGTAGCATCAATGAGGAGCTCTGCAGCCTATGAGTTTGAATCCTGTACTTTCACCAGCTTTACTGATGAAAGTCATGCAGTAGACAAGCTGCAAGCTACTACATGCTATTTTCAACATGCTGTATTTAAAATAGCTTTAAAAGGTACAGAAGTTTAAAAAGTGGAGTAATTTGTAGCTGAGCAGCACTGAAATTCCTGTTGTTGCTAATACCAGTGAAGCTGAATCACCATTTCAAAAAGCGGAACAGTTTAACAGGTTCAGTTCAGACAAATTGAACTGTACTCAGTTATTTGAAGAAAAAATTTTCTTGGAGTTGGGATAGCATGGAGGCATGGTAACTCTCCCTTCCACATTTGCCAGTACAACAAAAATATTCCAAATTCCATTTCTCTTCAGCTTTACCCAACCCAGAAGATACTTCCTTGCTGTCCAAACAAGATCCAAAAATTCCTTTAGTCTCCACAGTGCAAGAGATTAAATATTTTACTAGCTTTTGCTGAAATCACCGCTGTGGGCAGTCATGTTAAATATGTATAGTAATATTTTACAATAAAATACAAGTTTGTTTGAAATAAGACACAACTCCACACTAAACTTTATCCCCAGAAATGCTCACATGCAAACTTGTTTAACTAAAAGAACAGCTCAGTTAAACTGTATGTGCACTGTGATTTATGCATACAGCCTAGACCTTCCTTGATTGTGGAGAGCAGCAATACAGCTAGAGATTTAGGTCTAAACATATGTAGCCTGATTCCAACCAACCCTCTCTGGTTTTCTAGCTAACCAGAGAGAGATAAGATCCAGATCCCAAAACACAAATTATTACATCTTTTATTTTCTCTCAGTCTTGAGACATTTGATGCTGCAGCCAAATCAATCCAATGGCTAGCTGCTGCCAAAAGGCGGTAACCCTCTCTCCCCACTGCCACATGTCTCCATGCCTCTCTTACTGGTACTGCACTTGAGGTCAGCAGAGCTAGTGCAAGATGTAGCAATGGTTGCCATGGAAGCCTCTAACCACGCAGCAAGTTACTTCAAGGAACTACAGTGTGATTAAATTCTTCATTTTTCTTCTTGGCTTAGTGTTCTCACTGTTTAGGTCCCCAAAATAGCTCCCCATGAGGTGAGACAAATACCAGCGCAGAGGAAGCAAGCTGGTCCCTATGTTCAGCTGCAATATGGAACTGCATCCTAAGAAGCATCTCCTCAGTAAGGACACAACTAGTCACGGAGCTTTTGGCCACTCAGCTTTTGCAGATAACCACTTTATTTACTGCACTAAGTCACAGCACTCTTTCACACAGCTGTGTCTTTCTTTGGCTCCTTTACAGCCTTACACTGCTGATGCACAGCACATTTACTGAGACATGAAACTATACAACAACATAATTCTGGGAGGAGCCATTTTTTTCCTTCAGCTGGCAAAAAACCAAAAAAACCTAAAACAAACAAAAACCCTAATCAACCAAAAAAACCCCACCTATTTGAATTATATAACCCCTAGGATCCCTAATCCCAGGGAATATCTTGTTTTACTACAAGAAAGGCAAAGACTTTACACACTTGCAGCATCACCCAGATGGATGAAGGTTTTAGAACACAGTTTCAGAGCTCAGTGTCCTGTGCAACCTCATGCAGAGACACAAAACTGCCTGAATTATCTGTAACAAGTCAGTAAAAATAATCTTGGCATCAATACAGACAGCTCATTCAAGATAGCTGTGCAAAGTGCAGCAGAGACCTAGAAACAGGTTCAAACATGATTTTGTCATTTTTAAGCTTCTGAGCATACTGGTAGGAAGGATCAGTTTCCTGCATCTATTTAGTTCATTAAAAAAAAAAAAAAATGTTACTTAAAGGACAACTGAGCACACACATAAATATTGTGTGCTACATGCTTTTCTCATTGTATATCTACTGAAGTCCATGAGTCTATGGCAACCATTGCTACATCTTGCACTAGCTCAGGTCCCAGTTGCTCAGAGGACATCACAGCTGAATAGAACCTTGTTGACATCAATGGGCTCCCACATTTGGCGTGTCCAGATAAAACTCAGCACATGAGAGGAGCCTCAGTAGCTTCACATTTTTCACAAGTGAAGGTCTAGCCTTTCACATGTCTACACCAAACATCAATAAGAGACTCCTATCTGATGATTTGTAGGGTCGAAAAAAGTCCATGTCTACAAAGCCAAGGAAGAAACAGAAGAGAAAAAAAAACCCTGGAGCTTGCAGATGTGAAGGAAAGAAAAAGTCTACAGTCATAGAAAATGTTCCATTTCACTAACAGATGTATTATATGCCTTCAACTTTACAACAATATTTAAGGTTGTAAAGGTTATTTCCATCAAAAGTTATGACAGATGATGAAATACCAAAATAAACTCTTTCCTCTTTCAATAGTAGGATAAAATAGGGCTCTTTTTACTATTCACAGTTCTGACATCTGTGCCCGAGATTCTCATGCCTTTCCCTTCATGTGCTTCACTGCTGTTTCCTGCTTTCCAGCACAAATGCACAGTTTCACAGTTATTCCCTAAAGCCTGAGATTTGTAGTCGACCTACCTAGTACTTGATGATGTCTTTTACTTTTTCAGTTCCCACTAAACATAGGGGCAGGTATCCTTTAGACTGAACAAGAAGTTACCCGCAGCAGTGTTAGCTTCAGCAAGGCCCAGGAGCCGACAGGCCCATTTCCCAGAGCAGCTCTACCAGTTCCAGCTTTTCCTGCAGTATCCTTGCTATAGAAATCATCGCATTCAGTACAAGCAGGAAGTTACAGACAAAATTAATCAGCTTTAAAGAAAGTCTGTGAGATGCAAACACAACCTTCTAGAAGGAGTCAAGATTTTTTGTCAGTTTCCATTCACAAGCAAAGGCTCTGCACTTCCATCTCATGCAAGGGCAGCAGCTGCAAGTTACAGACAGGGAGAGAGAAAATGCTTCATGGGGAATCTGACTGATAGAACTTGCACCTAAATCAAGCCATTGTAATGAAGCAGTGTTCATTTGCATTCACCCATGAAATATGTGTTATACTGTATCCAAAGAATTTTATGTATTTGGTTTTTATGACTTTGCTAGACCTTAACAAAGCAATGCAGT